CACCTATCGGTAGCATCAGTTTACACATATAATGCTCCTCGTATTTAGTGAAAAATACTTTTTTATCTTTCCCCGATCTCTTAATTAGGACTCCCCCCTTAATGGCCGTAATGAATGTCTTACTCATCGTCTTCATCCGTGGTTTCATCCATATACAGATATAAGATAGTTTTCAAGCTACATATTTTAATACTAGTGAAAGCTCTGAACTGGGAGCAAAAAATTCGTTTGAGAATAGCGGTTGATTGAACGAGAGCGGGCAATCGAGAATGAGCAATAAGTGAATTTTATTTGTTATATAATAGATTGTCTTCTCATTCTATTTCAGAATAAATTATTATGGGTAGGATATCATGAACTTTTTCGATTCATTATCACAACTCATAACCAAGTTTTCATTAAAATAAATTTACAAATACAGTCAGAGCACGTCGTCGGGAGACATAGAAAAAATCGGGTATAACGTGCATTTAGAGAAAAATTGCATTTACAGAGAGTAAAATACTTAATGCTTCATATACTTGGGACTAATCTGAGCGTGCGTTAATGAAATATAAACATAGTGCGTGCATTTAGGGAGGTTTCATTTAGAGAGATCTGACTGTAGTAGTATTATTATAAAATACAAATAGTCTTCTAATTAAATTTTTATATAATGCTATATATCCTTTGAATCTTATAGTGATCGCATAATATTTATTCTATCTAATGCAATTCAAATTAAATGTTTGAATTTTGTGTGTATAAAAAAATACACGATGAATTCTAGTGCAATTAATGTTTGTTTTAATCAACTAATGCTTGTTTTTAACAATTAATGTCCAATTTATTGTTTTTGCATATATTACAATTGTGAAATATATATATGAATTGCTTAATTGGTTAATGTTTTTGATAATCAATGCTCGTTGACTTGCATGATGCGTTTGTTGTATTATAGTTCTGGCGGAAAGTACATGTACATGTAGTTGGAAACGCTACATACATGTATAGATTTTATAATGGTCAAAAATTTCATAGCTTGCTACAAAAGCAGAGCATCTTTTTCATTCACTTAAATTCTATCGCTAAAGAATTTCAACAAAATGCAAAAACTTGAATCATTGATCGAGAGGGGAAACGATGCCCATACGAAAACATGGCGAAATTGGGCCGGAAATATTGTCATGGAACCAGAATCCATTTTTATCCGAGTTTATTAAAAGAACTTAAAGAAATTGTGAATAAAGCGAAAAAAAGGCAAGAAAATTTGATGTGTTGCTGAAGGACATTCATGGAGCTCGCTGTCAGTTACAAAAGATTATTTAGTTATTGTGCGTAATTTGAATCAAATTCAAGTAGAAAAAAGTGAAAAGTATGGATGGATTGTTACTGCTGAAGCTAGCAAATTATATGATTAGTTTAAATGATTTATTCACATCTAGAATTAACCCAGATAAGTAAATTATTATTTTTTTCATTGTTCCTTGCGTTAATTGATTAATATCGATATAGGATTATTTGGTATAATCTACAAGATAACGTGGCGCGTACAACCACTATTCAATCTTCGCATGATTGATTTCCAACTACCAATAAAATCGTGGCTAAATCCAACTCTCAAAGAATTCGTCGAAAAATCCGAGACACACTAATCTGAGAGATGTGTGCCAGGTTGGTGACGAAAGTGTAAAATATTTATTTCAATAAGCAAAAAAGAAACGGAACCGAGTACAAATCCATTCCAATGAGACAAGCAATTGATGGAATTAAACATTATTTGATTATGACAATGTCAGTTCTCTGGTTTTGTAAAATGACTGTTTTCAACAAGTATTAGAACTAATCATCGAAGTTTACAAGATGTAGATGTACATGCCACTCACTTCAGATTTTCAGTCTTTAACAAGCTATACAGTTACAAATACCTCTCGTTTATAGTAGAAATTTAAATAATGACACCTGCTTATTTGGAGTTCTCGGAAAATTCATAAACATTATAGTAAAAAAATCAAACGTACTAAAAACACAATGCTCATAGATAAATGTATTCATGTATTAAATTTATACCAATAGTTGCCTGGCCTGACTTGATAATAGTTTTGTTGTAACAGCATTAAAAATTTTCATAATGGTTTATATCGTTTTCTTGGCAAAATGAATAGAGAATGTATATTTTGGACATCTCCGAATGTGTCACTATAACGGAAGGTACATAAAATATATAAAATACATGTATGCACGAATAATTTACATACAACCTATATTATAATGATTATATAATATGAATTAGAGCAGTTGGTACTCAAAAGAATAGAGTTGGACATACAAAAGTAGTGACCGTAGAGTAGAATGACAAATATAGAGTATGGTCCGGAGTACATGTATATGCATGTAGTATCTCCTTCTTCCATACTCGCATGGGATTAACCAGAGTATGCATTTATGTATTGTATTTAGAAGAGTTGAATGCATTTTAGTAGTCATTCGTTCATGATTCAAAGTTCTTAACTAAATTAGTATGAGCACCCGAAGAATATCATTCCTGTAATGCGGAAAAATAATTTTTGATCTTTCAAAATGTTCTTTTAATTCAGCCCAAATATGCTCAATTGGATTAAAGTTGCGAGGATGTGCTAGTCAATTTTGAGGTTTATTTTAAATTTTGAAGGCGATAGGTCTAAACATTTCGTGCTTGTTTTCCGAGATTCTAAGTGTTTAAGATCTAACATGGTGGTCATTTTTCGTGAACTACTGGGTTTCGGTTACCGGATAATCCTAACCAGTCTGAATTTAATAAACAAACTGTAATTATTTATTTATCGCATCTCTGAAAGAAATAATACATGTAGTTATAAAAAATGCATGGTTAAATTTTACACAATTTGCTGTGTCCACTAACGCTAAAGTATATAGCGCAAATCTTAAACCTTATTCAACCGATAAATTTTAAAAATGAAAACAATTAAAAAATTCGGACCGGTAAGCAGATATCTTGCACAACCTTTGCAAAACACATAAAGTATAAAAGAATTGTCTCGGATTCATTTCTTACGCCAACTCATTTATACAAATTAAAAACATGTCACTCCTCGAAGACACCGATATCAACTCCTACAACTGGCTGTTATCTTTAACAACCTTTTTTATAGTCAGTTACGTCGCCAAATTCTATTTCCAATACTTTACACGGGAAAATCCATTGCCTGGCCCAATACCGCTTCCATTTTTCGGTAATCATCTTCAGATGGGAAAAGATCCCGCGAAATTTGCAGTCAAGATGCAAAAGAAATATGGGGAAATATGGGAAGTTTATAAGACTTCTGGAAGATATGTTTATCTTGGTCGTGCTGATTTGATTGACAAAATGATGACTACATCAACTCAAACTAGTTTTTTCCACAGGGTATCATCATATTATGAAATTTTTATTTTCGTAATTTGGGCTCTTTTCGTTTAAATATTAATGAAATTATCTTTAGGTCAAAGTGAAGGAAGGATTAGTTGAATTAGGTCTTCCAAATAAAGGAATTGTTTTTAATGGGAATATGAAAAACTGGCGCGTCAATCGTAGATTCCTCACGCAGTCAGTAATGTCACAAAATTACCTGAAAAATTTCGTGCAAGAAACTAAATCACTTTTTAATGAAATGGAAAGCTACTGGTCAAATCTTGGCACCGAGTTTCAAATAGACTTTGCACGATGGCTGCCTCATTTCAACAATGACCTCACAGTAAGAACGACAACCGGAAAACCATTCTATTCTCTCCTAGCATACTACAACTCGTTCGCACCAGTCAAACTAAAAATTCCCGATTCGGTGATAGCAGAACCTGAAGAATTCGTGCATTTGATATTTAATTGGTTTAAAATGATCGGATATTTTCATTTTTTTTCGAACTTCGTTCGTAATTATGTTCCAGGATTCAGACAATTCACGCAAAACGTTTTGGCCAAGAATAACATGTTGGATGAGAAGATATTAAAGATTGTCGATGAGAGGAGAAAAGAGATTGAGAATTCGCCTGAAACGCCTTTACAAAACGACATTTTGACGTCACTATTGATTGCTAATACTCCTCGAGATGTAAATTACTCTTCCGATGATGAAGAGTATTCGAAACCGATAGCGAATGATGAAATTAGACAAATAATGTTGGAAGTTTTTATTGCTGGAACTGACACGGTATTTTATTTATATTGCCATTTGATATCAACAATTAATGTTTAATATTTAATCTTCTTATAGTCTGCAAATTCGATGTGCTACATAATTTATCATATATGCAAACATCCGGATGTAAAATCCCGTCTTTTACAAGAAATTCATCGTACCTTTGGCACAGATCCACATGCGATACAAAACGCAATAACTTACGAATCCCTCGACAAACTAATTTACACCGAGGCCATAATAAAAGAGACAGCACGCCTCACGCCGGTCTCACCCATCATGTTCAAAGAATTAGGTCGTGAAGAAGTAATCGCTGGCATGAAGTTCAAACCTGGGATAATGTTTTGCGCTCATGCACAAGGTGTACACCTAAGCTCACGATACTGGAAAGATCCCGAGAAATTTATCCCGGAACGATTTGTAAAAGATAGTGAATTCGAGGCAAAGAATCTCGAGAAGAATGCGTTTATTCCGTTTGGCGGTGGCCTTCGCCTATGCCCTGGAAGACACGTCGCTATGGCAGAAATGAAGCTCTTGACAGTGCTGTTGTTTAGCAAATATGATGTCCAATTGGTGGATCCCGATTCCCCGTTAATGTATTCTTTTATGTTAGTTAATCAATGTGACCAATTGAAGGTTTTGATACGACCAAAAAAATAATTTTTCTTATCGTATTTTTAAGATTGCATAGTTATACATGTATTTGATAATTTCATTATAAATAGATTCAATAATTGTATAAATAAATAAATACGAAAACTAATGTAGTATTCTGAGACTTTTATTTAAGAAATAAATAAATTAAGCAAAATGCTTCATAAAGACTAAAATCCTATCCTTTACTTATCAAGAGGCGGATTCTACCACATTTGAAACGGCGTCAGCACCATAAAAAACTTCCTTTAAGGACTCGTTATCGAAAAACAATTTCTCCGGATCATATTTCGCTCGGACTTTTTCAAATTTTTGTATTTGCTCATACATTGTCTCGTGCAAGTATGGTTTAATGCCGGGCACGTATTCCCAATGTTTAGCCCAATGTGGTCTTTTATGATTGAGTCATATTAGTAACTTTTTATAATGCTGTTCACGGAAACTATTGAGCTATAAATGTTTAACGTACCGCGCTTTATATTTGTTTATCCATCTAGCTGCCAATTCAGAAGAGAATTCTTCCCACCCTAGAGTGTTTCGTATGGCGAGTACCTGAATGTAGCAATAAATTGCATTTTGATCCTCATCGTACACAGGCGACAAGAGTGATCGCGATGATTTCACGAATCTCAGCTCAGTTGTGAGATTTACTGGGAATTTTCCTTGATTTGCATACTCATATATCTACATTCAATAAATACATGCAGGCACTCAGTATTTAATAATAGATCAATAATAAACGTAAAAAACCACTTTTTACCATAGTAATAATAAACTTAAACTCTTCGATTGCGCTCCCAAAATCATCTTCGTCTCTAAGTCTGAACGTAAACTCCAAATCCTCATATGGAACGTTATCAACACCAATCTGATGATGAATGGCGTCTGGAGCATAAAGAACATGATCATGATGTCTAGATGCCGGACCAGCTTTCCATGTAAGATTTGAGATATACGGTGTGCATTCCGGAGAATTCACAAGAACTTTGTATAGTGGATTTTCGCCGAATCTTGTTTCGTATTCCGCACGAATACGTTGTCCGGCTAATTTTTTGTTGCTAATTTCACTATTATTCTCGTCTTTCTCGTGCTTAATCCATTGTTTGACCCATAATTTGTCATTCGTATGATCTAATTCACTCTCGTTAAATGTCCAGTAGATTATTTCGAAACTGTTGGAGCTTGAATAGAGTTCTTTGATTGTTGCTGGGTAAAACCATGACTGAAGAAGAGGTTGGGAGTCGACGAGACGTAGATTGAATAACGGTTCTACACGCCAAGTGATCTTATACATAATGCCGAGGAGACCTACGGAAATTAAAAAATTCAATTATTGAAACTTTAATAAATTTTTTAAAAAAATTCCTAATTTACCTAAGTTAACACGAGCTGCACTCATTTCAAGCGAATCTTTTTCTTCGGTAAATTCTTGCAATTCGCCATCAGCAGTGACAATTTGTATTGAAACAACATTATCAGAAACGCATTTTGCTTCGAGTCCAACACCATACGACCCAGTTGCCACAACACCAGAAGCTCCAACTGAATCAAGTAAAGTCATCGAATCGATAGCTAATGGTGGATTATGAGCTTTAAGTGTGTCGTCGATTTGTTTAATGGTCGCTCCTAAATGCATTTAATGCTAAATATGCATTAATGATAAAACTAAGTACATTCCAAATATTATTTATTAAAAAAAATTAAAGTTCACCAGCTTCTGCAGTAACAGTCCACCCATATTTTTCACTTTTCTGCACCTCAATTTTAGCCAACTTGTCCACAATAACTAAGTAATTTCGCGTAACTGATAACGAACTCCACGTATTACGTCCTGAAGAAACACACCGAATTTTTTTCCCGTGTTTCTTTGCTTTTCTAACAATCTCTTTAAGATCCTTTAACGAGCTCGGACGAAAAATCGTATCAGGCTCAATATAGATATTCCCGGCCCAATTTTGCCATACTTTCTCGTTAGTGCTGCCGCCGGTACCAAAGATATTGGATGCCGAAACATGGTGATGAGAATCATTGCCGGTTCCGTGGTGGAAAAATTGTTTTGATTTTTGAAGCGATTCTTTGCCCTTTTCAATTGATTTGTCAATTTTTGCTTCGAGTTTTTTGAAGAGTTCGCTCATGTTTTATGTGTAAAGAAAAAATCTTGTCGTTTTTTGCGTGACCAGACGGTTTTAAGTTAGAGTTTTCATTGTACATGTACGATTGTATGTGGCGTTTATGCATATCGATATACTTTTTTTTCATATGATTACATGTATTTAATCTAAACCATAATGATAAAGCAAGCATGATCTCCATGTTTTGTTGTGCGAAAAAAAAAGGATTGTTCGACAGTTCATCCCAAAAATATGACATCATCGGGTCAGTGGTAACGTGTCATATTGATCATATCAATGTCATAGTAACGGTAACCTGTATTCTATCTAAAGTCACGTACATGTAATTTCCTTTTCGCGGAAAATTTTCTCTTAATTATAAAAACGAAAATACATGTACAGCATAACACTATACATTTATGTTAAATACCGATACTACATGTGCATGTATTATTTTATCAATCAAAATACTAAATAAGCTAAAGAAGTGGTGTTTTCTTTTCTAGTACGTGCATATGACATCTATGGTTTACACTTTACATTAATTAGTCCGATACATAAAACTAAAATTCTGACGATGCATTTTTTATTTTATCTCTATGAAATTTTAAAATTCGATATTAAATTAGAATAAAATACAGTTATTCCTCTTTATAGGTACGTGATCTGCTATAAAAATATCTATGAAGAGATTGGCTGACTAAAAGAAATAAGATATTTAATACATGTATAAATTGCTAAACTGAATGTTAATATAGTTTAACACGTAATAAATAGCTTCATAAAATATAAAATATAAAGTATATATTTTATTAGATTTATTTCATATTTACTTTTGATCCTTCATTAGCTCAAAAGATTAAAAATAATACCATAATTATTATGTTACTTTGAAATGGCACCAGGTGCTAAAAGAGCAAGAGCAGGAAGTCCTTGTATAGCTCCAGGAAAAGCAGCGAACGGTAAGACATTTAGAAGACCTGGTTCCGTTGTGGTTGCCAGAGTTGCGATTACAGGCACAGTTGAGTGACCAGCTCCAGCGCCAAGAGCAGCTAAGACTGGCAAATTCAAAGCTCGTTTATTAACGCCAACGGCAGAAGGTATCATTCCAGAAATCATGGGCAAAGTTCCCAGTGCAGTCAAAGCTTGAAATGGAGCTACACGTTTTTCGTATAGATTTACATTGTAGTTGATAGGCACAGCATTTATCAAAATGCTGCTGAAAATTGTGAAGGTAATAGCCGAAAACAAGAATTTGATGAACATGTTTAGAGACGTGCGCGATATTTTACTTATATACTTTGGGATATTTAATTTTCAAATTATTTTTTGGGACAATGTTGAATTTCAGCACTGCATTAAATACTGTAGTTAGCTCCATGCAATTTTGCTTATGATGCATCACTATTGATTTTTGATGTGAGACATATCACACGTACAGTAAGTTGATGTAAATGATGCAGCTCAAAAACTTTTTGTATTTTATTCAGAAAATTCTTGAATAAAATGAAGAAAACAAATTAGTTGGCTTATTACAATTCTAGTAGAAAGTAATAGTGGCTAAATTTATTTAAAAATAAATTATTTTATATAATAATTTCATTTAAAATTTTATTATATAATTAGTGTTTTATATTTTTATTCATTTATATTATAAATTTATTTTTTTAAAATTTGAAAGTAAATTTTATTTATACATATATTTTATATATATTGTAAAGGGGGGTATTATGGCCAATGGGGAGGGGGTATTGTGGCCAATTAAAAGATATCTCGACACCTACCGATCAGAATCACATAAAAATACAACATTTGATTTATCATACCTAGATGAATCAAATAATGATATTTTCATGCAATATTCTGATCGTTAGGTGTTGAGATAGTAAACATTGGCCTTCTTTGACATAAACCACTTTTACCTTATGAAATTTTTAGATAACAATTTGAAAATAACTATAATTATATCAGCTGAACAACTTTAATTATGCTAAAGACAGATCTCTTAGTATATTTATTTGAAATATTAAGGATTTTTTGTAAAATATTCCAATTACAAACATTTTTCTTTAATATTGCAGAAATTTAGATATTAAGTAATATTGTTCAACTGATCAATTTACATTTATAATAAAGATTTTAGAATAATAAATATTTTCCGTTATTTTTATATTGATTTAAAGATCATCCGCTATTACTTTCCGCCAGTACTGTATCATATTCATGGTGAATTTAACTTTTCGTAAGATGTCTGCATTAAAATACATGTACAGTCTTCCTCCCATATAATCACGCCCTTGGGAACAGCAAAAAGTGTGGCTTTAAAGAGGTTGTGACTGTATAGAAATCGCTTACATCGGAAATGATAATTTAATTGGATAGCCTTTTACAATTTTAACAACTTTAACTCTACAAGACATGCTTTCAACTAATTTATTTAAAATTTTAGACTCAATTAAATTCCATTCTTCCTTCAGTACATTTCTAACTATCCTAAACATGCTTAATTTGGTTAAATCGAGGCTTCTTTTTCCATGTGGACGAGCATTATCCTCTTGAAAAATATATATAGACAGAGTAAAGATAAGCTTTAAGAATTTCTAAATACTTTTCGCCATTAATATTATCAGAACCTTCAAATAACGATCAAATGCATTTCGTGTAGAATATCATACAGACTTTTCAATTTACAATAGATACTTCAAATTTTTGTAATAATCACTTAATATGAAAAGCATCTCTTAAAATTTTATAGCTTTTTCAGCTTTTTTTAAAAATGTAAGAATTTTTTAATTTGACCTTTTTTGGGAAAGCAACATGCTGATCATTTCGAATTATCGAGAGTAGAAACTACTTGATACATGTAATAATAAAATTTATTAAACGTAAATTAAAGTGAAAGTGAATAATAAGCTCACAATATCGCTTCATCGATCTTACAAAATTGCTTAGAACGAATCCGGAGATCTCTTTCCATTTCTCTATTATAAATCTTTCTAATTCAAATCCTTTAAATTTTAAATTTAATTTTTAGTCAATATTCTTGTTGAAATTGGGCAATCTCTATAAAGTGTACTATGAATCAAAGCGGTAACGGTCGAAATCTCCGAACGTTCATAACCCCGAAAGAACGAATTCCGTGATAATTTTAGTATTTCATGCATTTTGGGATATATATATATACATGTACTATCGCTATACTTTTGGGATTTCGATCGATTTGGTTATTCGGGATGCCGTTCATTCGGGATTTGGATGTTTCGGGCTTTCGTACCAGACCAGAATCAAAGAAAGAGATAAATCAGAATATTACTTAATTATTTCCATTTATTGAAAATGACTAAAGGCTTGAATCTCCTTGTTTTGATTTTTGTTGAAAAAGTAAAGTATTATATCTATTTGAAATCTATGACGACTTTAAGTACATTTAATAAGTCAACTTTTGGTTGCTCTCGAAATTATTATAGTAAAATAAGTTTGATACCAAAAAATCTTTTAAATAGTAGAAAATCAAGATCCATAAAAGACTTGTTTCAATGAATCATTATCGAAGAAAGTGTTATTAGGATCATATTTTTTTCGTACGTTTTCAAATTTAAGAATACGATCGCCTAATAAGTTGTGTAGATATGGTTTTATTCCTGGAACCGGTTCCCAATTTTTAGCCCAATGTGGTCTTTTAATTATAAAAAATTAAGTCAAATTATTGCGGCAAGTTTTTTAAAAACCACAAAAAGTATAATTAAATCGGGAATACATATAATAAATTTCATCTCTTTATATTTTACCTTGCTTGATATTTGTCCATCCATCGCTTTCCTACTTCATTAGCAAATTCATTCCAACTAGGATTATTATTGATACCAAGAATCTCAATAGCACCATATACCGCGTCTGGGTCTTCGTCGTGGACAGTGGCTAACCATAATGGTGAAGATTTGATAATTCTTATCTCGGCAATTGTCATTGGAAATTTTCCTTGTTTTGCGTAATCTACACTCTATAAATATATATAAGCTATTAGTTGTTTTAACACAAAAACTAATTAACATTATTTATTTACCCTTTGAAATAAATAATTGAATTCATCAGCCACCGTTGTATAATTCTTCTCAAGCTTGTAGGAAAATTCTAGATCATCAACTGGTATATTATCAATACCAGCCTGGTAATGGATCGCATCTGGAGCTTGATAAACTGCATTGCTCGGATATCTGCTTAAATTCCATAAAAAACCAGTAAGTGCTGGCGTGAATTCCGGTGATAAGAGCATGAGATCATATATGGATTTAGCAAATTTGGAGGAACTTTCTTCCAATTGACGTTGTTTCTCGAGGTCTTGTTGCGTGAATGTTGGAGTGTCATTTGTTCTCACCCATTGTTTTACCCATAGTACATCATTTGAAGTGTCAAGCTTGCCCTGATTAAATGGCCAGTAAAAAATTTCTATTCCATCAGATGTTTCTACTAATTTCTTGAAATTTTCTGGTTTGATCCATTCCTTTGCCAGCGGAAATGAGTCAATCATTCGAAGATTATACATTGGTACGACGCGAAAAGTAACAGTATAAATAACGCCAAGTAATCCTTTATTGCATATCAAATTTATTAATATATATTATTCACATCAACATTGAACTAGCATTTTAATATACCTAAATTAATCCTTGCCGCATTCATATCATCTGGATTCTTCTCCTCAGTAAACTCATGTAATTCCCCATCACCAGTAACAATTTGTAATGCCACAACGTTGTCAGGAATACTTCTCCCTTCAAATTTTGCACCGTGGGAGCCAGTTGCTACTACACCCGCAGCTCGGACGGAATTTAATACAGTCATCGATTCTATGGTTAGCGGGGGATCATGATTTCGAAGTGTGTCATCAATTTGTTTAATTGTTGCACCTAAATAAAAGTTACGGTATTGGTTAAAATTTCATCATTTACCCACTAACAGATATATTAAAAAATTTTTCACCAGCTTCGGCAGTCACAGTCCATCCGTATTTTTCGTTCTGTTGCACCTTGACATTCGTTAAATTTTTTACAACAATCAGATAATCTTTAGTTAATGCTAACGAACTCCATGAATGTCCTTCAGCGGCACATCGAACTTTCTTTCCATTTTCTTTTGCATTCTTTACAATATCTTTAATATCATCGACTGAAGTTGGATAAAATATAAATTCAGGTTTGACAACAACATTCCCAGCCCAATTACTCCATTCTGCGTCGGAAGAAGGTTTGAAAACACGTTTAAAGTTACGTAAAACTTCAATTTTTCTTTGACTATATTTAAGTGGTTTTGATTCCGTTATGTTTAAAATTGTTGCTATTATCACTATTATTAATAACGTTGATTTAAGTGAATTGGTCGAATATGCCATTTTTACAATATAATAATTTGCAATTGAAAGAATCTATAAATTTTTCTTTTTCTCAAACGAAGGAAATCGAGTGCTCTTATATTGATCAGATACCGACATTTTATAACTCTTTTATTTCGACTACTTAATTTAGTCTTTACTATCATCTTTTGATAATCCTTGTCATATTTGACAATGATTATTTTAGTTCTTGATTTTGAATTATCATTTTTAATAACTCTAATTACGGTACGCACATTCAAAAACATTCCGGACAATTAGAATTTCCGTCATATCTAATTCAAAAGACTTTGGACAATTAGAATTTCCGTCATATCCAATTCAGACAATTAACATTCTAATTAGGATGCAATGGTCATTCAAAAATGAGTAACGACAAAATGTGATTTTGTATGATGATTTAAATCAATATACATTAATAGTTTTATTGAAACAAATATGAATCTTATCGTTACATACCATTTTTTGATCGATTCGAAACTATTTTTAACAACAAAATCATAAATAAAAATATGCGTAACATTAGTTACGCGTAGGTAGAATATATGTTTCAAAATAACATAAAATAACTAACTCTAATGCGTCTAAAATATATCATGACATATATCCTATAAAAAAGAATTTTCTGTTCTTTTTTACCCTTAAAATCATTAATTGGGCGCTGAATGATAGTACAAGTCAACCTCTCTATAACGACATCAAATACCCGGGCTAATTTAAAGAGAATGTCATTATGTAGGGATCAATTTTCTTTTATACGGATTTATTATAGAAAATTCCGTTATAAAAGGGTCGTTATGGGGCGGTTTGACTTGTATTTCTAATTTTGGACATCATCCGGAAAAGCCATGATCGGCATAATAATTATCATTCATATTTTTATTAATTCACATTAAATAGGTAATAATACATGTACAATGGGAGGCGCGGAATCTACAGTATATTAACGATCCGATGAACCGTTTATTGAAATGAATTTTTATTGGTTCGTTATTAAAACAAAACATGTATGCGTTATGATTTGAACATTAATTTTGTATTTCCTTTTTGAGATGTTACGAGTTCACAAATTTCAGTCATATTGTAACTATATCGAGGCAAAATGCAACGCGAATTTTAGAAGAGTTGTGAATTTTTTTTGATTGCGAATTTTAGAAATTTTTTTGATCGCAAATTTTAAGAGTTATGAAATGTTGATTTAGGCATTGATTGCATTATTTAGTTACATGTCAGCAAATGATCCGATCATTATAACTCCGCTTATTTATTTTTATGAATATGGTCTGATATTTTAGTTTAAATAATAAACATCGTTTCGGACCTGGTCAAAAGCTATGTTACTTAACGAGATGTAACTTTTTTCCTGAAGTTGATCATGAATTATTGTAGTTAAAATCTAAATTACAATAAATTGCCCATTCTTGAACAAGAACAATTGAAGGATTAGATAATCAAATATCACAATTATTAATAGTTAATTGAGAAAAATGAGGATCAAAAATTTGGATAGCTTTAAAAAGAGATTGAGAAGGAAGTGGATAAAGATGATCATTAAATTTTTTTTGCAGCATTAAAAGCTTATTGAAAAACAGAATTATAAGCGGGAGAATCTGGATTATATTTGAGAATTATTGAAGTAATATGAAGTCCAAAATTATTGGTAGAAATGTCATTTGAAATAAAAGCATCTAATTGAATGCGTCCTTCTATAAAGGGAAAAAGAGGATCAAATTTTGAAACAGAAATAAATTGCTGAGCCGAATAAATGCCAAGTAAATTTCAACATAAGCATTATTATATTGATCATCAATAATAGTCAATTATTTCTGTTTTTTCTTTTTGTTGCTCTTCTTTATAAAACCCATGTATATACATACTCCAAATAATCATAAACATAAAAAGGCATATATTATACCAAGAATTCCATCTAGTTGCATTTGATAAAGGAACAAATCATAAGGTCAATGTTATGTTGGTAGCTTGAGTCAAATTTTCTTGAATTCCAAATAATTCATGTAATGATTATGATAACTTTTTGAGTGGATAAAAGTTTTCTTGATATTCATTAATAAATTTTTTTATGATATCAAAATGTGTGATCGAAATCCATGTTTCACTAAATAAAGGATAATAATTATTTACTTGTATTAATAATTATTACATTACATAAATAATTATTACATTACATAAATACTAACCTGATCAAGTTCAATATACTGTATGTGCAGGACAAGTGTTGTGTTGAAATTGTGGCATTAATGGATGTAAAATAACTCTATAACATTTTTTCATATACAGTTAAAATTCGAACCACCAATTGTCTAATAGTGGTATTATTAACTGCTTGCAAGTAATTAACTGATATAAGCTTCGTTGAATTGTGATAAGAAAACAAGATATTTACAATACTGCGAGCTCGATAATCTGTAGTTTCGTCAACAATAATGGCGACAGGTTTCTCTTGAAACTCGGTATGCAAAGCTTGAACATGTTCTTCATATACATTGGGCAAATAATTGTGGCGCAAGATATCAGCAGCGCACCAACCCATGCCTTAAGAAACTCATTTATTACTGATTTTTTGACTTCAGCTGCTCGCATAGTTGTTTCGATGCCTCTATTTCGGCTGACTTTTCTTTTCTCGTTATGTGTTTTTTGGTATTTAAATGAGCAGTAATAAAGGAAACATTGTCATGATTGATGACACAGCAGCAAAAATAACATATAAGTAGGCCATTTTCAATATAAAAATCGTTGGGATATTTTTTGCCCAAGAAGTTGCTGTAACTTGTTTTTTGCGTGCTATTTTAACGCGTTTGTAATTGAGAAGTGGTGACATGCATTATCTGAATAAAAAACCCCGTTACTGTATACAATTTTTACTAATATACAACTATCTAAATTACAAATCGTTTACTGCGGGTCATTAAAGCATAAAGTAGGAAGTTTAATAAGCATTTTCACAAAAGAAAGAAATATGTATATATAAAATAATAATGCATAAATTTAATATAAGAGTTTTGGTAGAAATTTTACCATAATCAAATCTTGGGATACGCAAATAGGCATTTTAGGTACTTTTTTTGGAAAATGGAGTTAATGTTAATAAGAATTTTTATAAGGATTTCTGGTATTTGGTGTAGTTTTTTACGGGACAATACATGTTCATGTACTTGATTGTTTCGTTACACATTACTACATACATGTTGATGTGTTAGGAGTACAGATCAAGAAATTAAGAAATGTAATCACGAGACTTTTTGTTGCGACGGGCAACACTACGCTAACCAAAACTACCTAGTAAATAGAGCACTTGTTTTATAAAACTGGCTGATGGTCACTCAAAATAATATAAAATACAGATAGAATAATGAAATGTCAAGTTTACCATCAAAATGACACTATGATGACATATGTAGTATCGAAGACTCAGTGATGTCATACATATTAACGGTCGATTAAGGGGTTGTTCTAATATACGTATCTAATTTTCTTCGGCATTAAAAAACTACTTGTCTCAAAAAAAATATAAATCAGGTGAAAGAAGGGTTTCAGACATAATTTTAATCATACAAAATATGACTTATCCAAATAGAACTGTGACCTTAATATTAGTTTTATTAATCGCTTCGATATTTTTTGAAACGTATGAATCCAGAGTTCATAAATCCATAAAAAGAAACGAATTAATCGAAAACTTCAAACGTCTTTTCGCTCCGACTTCAGAAAAATCATTTACTACTTGGTTCGGTAATGTGATTACACCCCAATATATCTTTAGACCTAATTCTCTTGATGATCTTAAAGATATTGTAAAAAATGCGAAAATTAACGGAAAAAAGATTCGATGCGCGGGTCGAGGGCATTCATGGACATCGTTATCAAATACTAAGGATTATTTGGTGATTGTGAATAATTTAAGTAACGTTACCGAGGTGACAAAGACGGATACATATGGATGGACTATTACTGCTTTAGCTGGTATTAAGCTTTTTTAATTAGCGAAAGACTTGTTAATATATATATTCGTCTTTTAATGTAGTTCTCATTATCATGATAAATCTAGGTACTCAAATTAAGACAATGGAACAGGCATTATTGAAAAATAACCCCCCTTTGGCATTTAAAACAATGCCCGCCCCCGATTTTTTTAGCGCGTCTGGGATTATAGCAGTTGCTGCTCATGGTGGCGTGACAGCAGCTCCAAGTGCATCTGACCTGGTCGTTAAACTTCAAATGGTTTCTGGTGATGGTGAGCTGCAAGAATTTTCAAATGAAAAAGACCCAGTCGAATTCAACGCGGCAAAATTAAATTTAGGTGAGTTCTAGCATAAATGCAATAACAATTTCGATGTTTTCTGATTATAAATTTAATTTTTACTTCTTAGGTTTACTTGGTATTATATATTCTGTTACTTTTCGCGTCGAGCCATTATATAACATGCGCCTGAATGATCTTGTAATTCCACTCAAGGACTGGCTTAATCCTGCAAGCATCAAAAAGACCTTTGATACTGCTGATTCTCTTGATATTGTTTACTGGCCATTCAATAAAGGGCAAATCGACTTATCAAATGATGATATATGGATAAAGCAATTCGTCAGGACACAAGATCCACCATCAATAAAACTCCCGTTTCTTGATCCTATACGTGAGGCTTTTCTTAATCTTAGCATTCCCTCTTTTGAACTCTTGCTTAAAGCCCCTCATCTCACTCCATTTACAAAAAAATTCGAATGGGACGTCGCCAGGACATCATTTGCTACTAATCAAGTGCTTGTAGCCACAGATGCTCTTCATTTTTTTCCTGGTTATGAAGTGGTTGTAGCTGAAGATTCAGCTTTTGCAATTAAGGCTGATTCAAATTTCACAAACATTGCTACAGAATTTTCTTTCATCATAAATAAAGTAAGAAATTTTTATTGGTTTGCCAAAATTATTTTGATTTTTTGTTTTTTAAATTCATAATTTTTATTTAGATTGCCGAATACGCACGAAATGGCAAGTTCCCAATAAATATCACCGTGTCACTCCGATTTCTAAGAGCTTCTGCCGCTTTATTGGCACCAACATTCGACAGCGATCCAAATGCTATTTATGGCTTCTTTGAATTGAACACATACAAAAACACGCCTGATTGGGCGAACTTTCAAAACGAAATAGCTCAACGATTGATTAGTAAATATGGAGCTAGGTAAAAATTTTGAATTTTTTATTATTTGAAAGATTCGCATTGAAAATAAGTTAACATCATTTCTAAATTTTTATCAAAGACCGCATTGGGCCAAAGAATGGGAATCTGTATCTGGTATTAAACAGTTCCTTCACAAATCATTGGGTGATCATATTACTACATTTGAAAAAGTTCGCGTTAAATATGATCCTAATAATACTTTCTTTGATAATGATTCATTAAAACAAGTGTTTTATGGATAAACAATATTTAATTTAGCGTCTATTTAAATATAGAAATGACATGTAATTTTAGTAATGGATTACAAATTATTTAATTAATTTATTATATAAATAAAGCGGGACCATTAATTAGTACCTTAGTTCTAAACGAACCATTTTAATCTAACACGGATTCATTCATATTTTGCTAGTTCCAAAATTCCATCAGGCACAATTTCGAGTTACCCACAATATATTTTGTTGATCTAATATCGTTAAATTTATTTTATTAATTTTGAAAAAGTTCATTACGCAACGTACATTTGTGGAACTCCTTATTAACTACTAATGTTGTATATATAAGTTCGCAAGTATGCTATATGATTAATAAAGATAATTTTCCACAGCGTAATAAAGATGTTACGTTCGATAAAGACTTCGTCTTGACTAGATTTTGAACCGATCTCGAGTTATAATCGATACGAACGATGATTTGTATCAATATTAAAGCCATTATTAAAATGACAATAATCAGAAATGTTCACTATTAAATTTGGTATCCTTTATTGTGTTTATAGATAATTATTAAAATTGTGTTTCTCTTGCAACGTATTACATTTGTCTTGAAATATATTACGTTCATCTTGCAATACATAATTGTCTTATAATACATAATTTTTCGCAATTGTTTTTTTAAACAATGTTGGTTAACGATGAATGCAACACTAGTTCCACTTGAAAAAACATTGATGGAATACTGAGATTCTTGGATGATTAGCTGTTTCAAGATTTTAATAAAAGACCAAACTGTTTTTGAATTACTGTGTCCAATTTCGATTCTTTATTTATAGTTACAGTGCGAACAACTAATGACTCATAAAGTTATAGCACACATGCAAGACAACTCTTCGTTTTTTCGAGCGATCCTTATAATAATGAACAAAAAATGAGATGACAACTATTTATCTGGATAATAACCTTTTACGATGACGATATCTACAAGAAAAATATGTAAGATAATTAATGAACTTGCACAAATTTTTGCTGACATGTAGACTTATCAATTGCAAAGCTTTTACTTGACCATGTGAATACTAATTGGAAGCTTCGTAATTTCCTATTATATATCATTCCATCACAATTAATTATACATGTATTAAATATGGCAAACGCAAAATAGAATCAATTTAAATGAATGAATACTTAAAGAATATTTTTTATCCATCAATATCTTAATTTGAAATCTTTAAAAAGTTTAGATCTTTAAAATAGTTTAAAACTAAATATCATTTATAATAAATTAATGAATAACGAATTTGCTAAATTCAAATGCGCAAAAAAATTTAAGAACGAATATGTTACCTTTATAATATTAGAAATTCTTAGATGACATAAAATGAAAGATCCAGAATTGTCATTTAATTTAGTATAATTGATATAATTTCACAGAAAATTAAAATAGAAGATCAATGGCATGAGATATTAAATGTTTGAATTTCAAGAAGAAACCAATCAAATCAAAGTTGAATTAATAAAGCTTCAAATTAAATAGTTCAAAAGAGTTTTTATTTTTGAAAATTTTTCGATAAAATTGTGAATTCCCGTAAAAATAACTTACTAGATTTGGTAAATAATTTGTTTTTCATTGCAAATTACGCATAAAGCAACTGGTGATAGTAAAGCAAATTAAGGACGATTATTAATTTGGTCGCGATAGTTGCTTAACCAACTTCGCATGTTACAAAAAAATAGGTTTTTGTTATATTTAGTCTGCTTATTACAGAAAGTTATGAAAATTCTATAATATTTATCTGCTGAAGCTATTAAATAAAACATGCAGTAGCTATATAACTAATTATAAAATATCCGATTTAACGAATCATTATCAAAAAATATTTTTTTTGGATCGTATTTGGCGCGAACTATTTCGAAAGTTTTGATCTGATCACTTAACCTTGTATGAAGATATGGTATTATTCCCGGTACATGTTCCCATTCTTTACCCCAATGTGGCCTTGTATTAGATAAAAAATGAGGATTAAAAATATAAATACTTTTTGAAATACAAATTCACACCTTTATTATGTGTGGAGTTTTAATTTTACCTGGCTTGATATTTTTCTATCCAACCGTTGGCTATTTCAGCAGAAAATTCTTTCCAACCCGGAGTTCCAAAAAAGGTAATAATCTCAATGTGACAATATATAGCATTAGGATCAGCATCGTATCCGGAAGCTAAAATTGCTTTCGAAGCTTTGTTGATTCTGAATTCAGCGACTGAATTCAGTGGAAATTCTCCTTGTTTTGCTGATTTTGTAATCTAAAAAAAGAAAAAATTAAATGAAATCACGTAAACAAATTAAGGGCAGAACAGAGATTGATAAAACTCACCATTGACATGATATTTAGCATCTCGATGTGAACGTTAGAAAAATCCGAATTAACTTTAAATGTAAATTCTAAGCAATTCAAAGGAATAATATCAAGACAGGATTGAAAATGAATAGCATCTGGTGCCTCATATATTGCATCCTTCGTGCTCCTTTGTGGAACTAGCTTATATAATATGGCACTTGTTATAGGGGTAATTGCGGGATATTTAGCAGTAAGGTTGTAAACACTAGTGAAAAAATATTTAAATATCGGCGCATCGTATTTACTTTTTTGGGTAATTTGTTTTTGAGATACTGTTGCTGGATCTTCGGTTCTGATCCATTGTTTTACCCATATCGTATCTTTGTTGGTGTCGATATTTCCTTGATTGAATGGCCAATAGATTACTTCTAGGCTATCTGAATTTTCATAGTATTGTTTAAGAATTTCAGGTTTAAGCCAATCCGTAGCTAATGGAAACGTGTCGATCATACGCAAGTTAAACAATGGTTCGACGCGAAATGTAACTGAATAGATAATTCCAAGAAGACCTAAAGTGTTAAAGATTTCAAATATTTATATTGTTTTTTAGATTTGTTTATCGAGTGTAATAATAAGCAAACAAATTCTATTTACCTAAGCTAACTCGCGCTACGTTCATTTCTTGTGGGTCCTTCTCTTCCGAGAATTCATGCAGTTCACCATCAGCAGTAACAATTTGTAATGAGATTAACTCATCAGAAACAGATGCTCCTTGAATTTTTGCACCATGTGCACCAGTGGAGACAATGCCGGATGCTCTAAGTGTATTTATCACAGTCATCGAATTCATTGTCAAAGGCGGATCATTGTTACGAAGTGTGTCATCGATTTGTTTTATTGAAGCACCTGAATTTTTGAGACAAGAAATTAGAATGATATTTATTAAAGAATACACATGTTTAAAATAAATAACGATAATCATACCAGCTTCGGCAATGATAGTCCAACCATATTTTTCGCGTTTCTGCACTTGAACTTTAGTCAAGTTATTTACAATAACAAAATAGTCTTTTGTGGCTGATAAAGAACTCCATGAATGTCCCTGTGCAGCGCAACGAATCTTTTTTCCATTTTTTTTCGCGTTTTTTACAATATCTCTAAGTTCTTCAAGTGTGTTCGGTAAAAAGATGCACTGTGGATTATTGGTCACAGTGCCGGCCCAATTGCGCCATGTTTTTTTTGAAGTAGATACGAAACCGTTTTCCAAATTTTGATGTAATATTTGAATCATTATTAATATTCTTTTTTCTAAAGAATTCCAATTGTTTTACCGCGAATGCCTTTATATACTGTATTGATATAATTTTTTTCTTTAACATGCGCATGCATTTGTCCATCAGTAAATGATAGATATCAGAAAATATGCTGATATCTGCAATGCAAGTCATTGCATTATTAGATCAGTCTAATAAAAAATCAGTAAAGAAATATTCATTACAGATTTTTTAATAATAATTTTATATAATTAACTTGATTTATTTAAATTTATTTTTTGCGAATTACTAAACTCTCATTTTTTTTGTAGCTTTGAAAATAAAGTTTAATTACTGTATGTTACATTGTGCAGAGGCGAATTATATTATTGTTACCAATAACATTTAGAATTCCATGATTATGTTAAGAAACCCGTACCTTTTTCCGACATGTATTTTCAGAGGTCAGCCGATTAGGAATTTACTGTATTACTTTGGTTTACCACGAGAGAATTTTCTCCTAAGGATAATTACTGGTAAATTGAGTATGGTACGACCATTGCTGGGTTGCTCAACCTATGAAAGGTTTTCCGTCTCTAATTGAAATTCCAGTTAGATTTGAATGACAAGCTAGCCTCTGTATTTGACTCGCTACTAGTTTGAGGCTGTAAATAAAAAAAATTAGTAAAGAACAAAAATAACTTATAATAAAAGCAAATAGAACATTTTGCGCCAAACAAATCAAACTATGTCCAATGTCCAATTTAAACTATCAATATGCACAATTTCTGACAATCATTATATTTTATTATACATGTAGTAAGAAATTTTATTCGACCTTTTCTTCTTTTAGCAATAGATAGTTGACATACAAGCTTTTTAATAAAAATTACATTTATTCTAACTATTCAGTCTATTGTTTCGAACATTATGTACATTATTATAGTCATTTGTACACTATTCTGGCCATTCGGTCTAATGTTTCACCCATCCTACAAAATAGAATAGTTATTAGTATATTTTTTCGCCCACTTGTTTTAAAACATATACAGTGGCGCTCAAAAGTAATGCATCACTAGGACGAAAAAACGAATCGTGAAATTTTTAGCAATATAGACGCCAC